CCATTAATTGTCTTTAATTCACACTGATCCTCTCAGTACTTCCACGTGTCACGTTTGTTCCTTCACACTGTTCACGCACTGAATAAAACGTGTTCATTTTGTGTAATGCTTGTGACTGAAAGAGGTAAAAACTGTCAGCGGGACAAATGTCAAAGACGGGAGAGGGTGCTAGCCTACTTCATGCGATCTGCCGACATGACCGTAAAAACTCAGCACACTAAACCAGTAAACGGTGACACTAATTCGAGCAATAAAGACAGACTCAGACACACGTACAAATAAGCAAGGAAGCACACAAATATGGCCTATGTTTTCCCTTTATGAGAACATTTACTGCGCTTGCGCAGAACATCAACCCTGTCACCTTACAAGTTCATTCAAAGTCTGCTCTGTTCCAGAGACGGCCATGGGGACTCCCATCTACGCTCAGGACGACAGGGGATCGGACTACGTCAAGGCTGTGTACGAGTAAGTACGTTTTCTGAAAACATCGTTCCTTTTCTTGCTACGTCACTTTGCCAGGTTGTGAAACAAGGAACATTTACAATACTTTTATTTTCCGTCGTTTACACAAGCTTATTGTTAAAATCATATAAAATTTCACATAAAATTGTTACATTTTAAAATTGACGACATGTTTCGATATACAATCTTATCATCGTCAGGTCTATCAAAATTAAAATTAAAATCTGGTGTATCTGTTGCTCTGCTTATATTGATGATAAGATTGTATATCGAAACATGTCGTCAATTTTAAAATGTAACAATTTTATGTGAAATTTTATATGATTTTAACAATAAGCTTGTGTAAACGACGGAAAATAAAAGTATTGTAAGTTCACGTCTATTTGGTAAGTTAGTAGAAACTGTATGACGTCACTGTCAGCTGCAACGAATCAGTTCAAACCACCTACAGCTTTCGCACCTGCTGTTAGGTCTTACTTTGGCGATTTACCTGCGGTGTCAAAGGAATAGCAGCTCTGACGCTGTGTGCCGCGCTACTTCAGTTTATGGGTGCGTTGGGAATGGATTTCTCAAGGCATGCGACGTGTTCTCCGGACGCATGGACCTGCGGCTGAAACGACGTCGGAAGGCCGGTGTTTTGCGGTCTTATCACGCTGCAGGATCAATGGAAACTCACATGAACCAGAGTAAAACACTGATAAGGCAAATAGTACACTGCTTATGGGATTTAACACTGAAAACTTTCGAATATTGTCTATAATGAATAACACGCATAATCACCAGAGAATTACGTGTCGTGATAATTGAATATGAACTGCTCTGTCGCGCATATTTCTCATACAGCTTTAACTAGAGCTAACTGAATTTAAGTTGCACGGACACTAGTAATAATTCGGAATGTCACGACTCCTCTTCAGTTCAAAACGCCCCATAAATTTAAGAAACGGGTGTCCCCAGGTGGCGGTAAGTATGAAGATGGCTGCCTTCTGGGTTATCTATGCTACTGTAGAGCTTCAGCTGAGCGAAATTACGCTGTAAGAGGAAACCCCTGGGTTGCGGGATGTTCCCCCGCAAGACTGAAATTTCCCTTCGCGGGTTTGCTCAATAAAATGATTCTGTGTCCTAAGTCCCAACAGGGTCTCTCGCATTTAGGGCTCCTTTCATGATCGTGTCTCCGCTGCCATCCAGGAAAGTGGTAGGTCGAGACGCTTGCTGTGAGGCATTCAGTAATCTCTCGAGAGTCTGTCCTCTTTCAGGAACAAATCCAGTCACAATGCGATGTTATTCTTCGCTAGGAAAT